ATTTCGCGTCGAATTACGCGCAAAGGTCGCCGTAGACGTTAAATCTACGTTAAATCTATTTAACCAAACGTATTCCGTTTTTTCTTCAACGCTCAGGACCGAGTACGGGAATTTTTGGTGCACCAGCGCAACCATCGCCTTTTGGCAGCACAGGGGCAGGAACTAGTACCGCGACAACAGGTGATACATCATTCAGACGTTGTAGTTGTTTATTCAAAACAATCGACCAATGCAGAGTCTAACGCGTCTGTTCTCGATATATCAAATACGAATTATCGTTACGTTCGACACGTGTCGATGTCACATGTATCTCTTCACGTTTCTTTCACGTTTCTTTCAACAAGGTTTCGGTGGGATGAGCGGCGGTTTCGGAGCAACCACGCAGTCCGGCTCAAGCGGTATATTTGGGAAACCTATAACTAGTTTCGGTACACCCTCGACAACAACGACGAATAATTTTGCTTTCAATTCTACACCAAGCACAAATCTGTTTGGTACGAATACGCAGAACAAACCTTTTGGCAGTAAGTGTCAAATTTTTCAAACGCCATTGATAATATCGAACGAATGAATCGATGAATCTAGCATCGTTTTATGTACGGTATATCGGTAAATGCGTAAATGCGTAAATGCGTAAATGCGTAAATGCGTAAATGCGTATACACAAATGCGTGTACGAATCACGTGTATATGCGCAAAGTACAATTAGTCTTATCTACAGCAGCAGCTCCAACACCACTTTTTGCAACCAGCAATACTAACCAAAATGCTGGTACAGGTTTCGGTGGCATTAATACGGGTCAAAACACTGCTTTCGGCTCCGCGTTTGGTTCGACGCAACCGAATCAGGTAATATACAGAATAATATAATACGGGGAGGAGGAGCAACGGGGAGAGAAACTTTGCGTCGTCGGCCCTGATCGCTCACCTTATACCCCTCTTAACTTTTTTTTTTTTTATCGTCTCTTTGCAGAGTATTGGTTTATTTAATCAGAACAAATCAGCTTTCAACGCACCGTCCACCTCGTCCAGTACTGGATTCACCGGCTTCGGTCAAACATCGTCGAGCAACACGGGTACAGCTTTATTCGGAGCTAAGACAACCGGAACGATAGGTTTCGGAGCAACTCCGACTTTCGGTTCAACTACAACGTCGACTTTTGGAACTGCATCAGGTTTCACTGCAGGTCAAAACTCTGGTACTTCATTGTTTAATACGCCTTTTAAACCGGCAGGACAAACATCTGGATTCTCGTTTGGTTCAACTTCCACACCATCGTCCGGACTCGGTAAATTATTTACGTGCCAGTCTTATCATCGAAACGACATTGGCGCAGCATAACGTTTCAAATTTCAAATTTCAAATTTCACATTTCACATTTCGAACTCGACGAAATGGGTTACCGTCGATTGTAATTTCTTTTTCGAAATATTTCTGTAGCTCGCTTTCTGTAGTTTGCGTGAAAACTACGAGCGAAAAGAAACTAAACGCAAAGAAAGTAAAAGCAAAGTAAATAACGAGATACTCGCTCAAACGTTCATTCACGTTTCGACGTTGGACGTAAATTGATTTTCTAGGTACGAATACAGGTTTGATGTTGGGCAGTGGTTCCACTTTATTTGGCCAGCAAAAATCAGGAGGTTTCTTCGGCAGTACTGGCAACAACGCAACGTTCAACACGTCGGGGTCGTTTGGATCTTCAAGTTTCGGAAGCAACGCAAATGTTGGGACGGGCATTGGAACTGGATTGCTCGGAACTGGGTATTACATCGAATTTTTCACAATCTATTCTCGATAGATGATCGTTCGTTCGTCGAAAACGATTCTTTTAATTTGCTTTCTGTTTCTCCGAATAATATACGTAGAAACACGACGAATCAAACGAAGAACAGTTCCGGGACAGTGCCGGTGCATCAACAAATCTTGGCCTTGGTGTCTGCTCCGTTCGGTGATTCGCCATTGTTAAAGAATCTCTTACCAGTAAGAGTAACGTCCAACACGAGTCGATCAACAAGACGATCGTTTAAAAATTTGTCGTTGAAACCGCCATGTTTTTTTTTTTTTTTTTTTTT